GGAGCATTAATAGTGCTTTTTTCTCTATTTGTGCAACGACTTTTATAGAACTTGTAAGAACATAGTATCTTTGAGTCCACAAATGTGACTAGAATTGGCCAGGGGGTTCAAAGGTTTTTATGGAGGCGTGATAAACAAGAGAGCATGAAAGCGCACACAGTGTGATCTTATGAGACTCATTTCCTTAGAAAATCATTTTCTTTAAAAGAAAGAATTAACAGCCTAAAGCAGTCACTCTATTTTTATTCACATGGTGTCCAGCATATATAGATTTCTGTGTGTATATATCTCCCATGCTCAAACTTATACAAATATACATGCAATCACACGTGCCTCCGCGCGTTGCTAAGTTACTTGTCATTGCATGTTTGCATGTTTACCCCCAACAAAAAAACTGGTGAACCCAACTGCAAGATAACCCATGCTTACAATCAGTGGGATTTCTAAAATTCAGCATCTGCTGAAGTTCACACGCCTGCTTTTACTGACGTATTTAAAGATTTACAAGATCAGTGTCTGCAGAGACATCACTGTCAAAGTGCCTGGACGTGGGGACGCTGTCCAGGGACTGGATGGAAGGACTGGGGCCTACGTTATTTACAGGGAACATCTGAACTCTAGAAACGTAGCAAACCTTTTGCATAGCAAAAATGACTGAGCTCAGAATAATTTGCCTTCATGGAACACTAGATTTCTAAGGTCCTGTAGCTGGGCCTTTTTTATTTCACATTTGAATGTCAGCAGGTCAAAAGGAACAGTTAATGCTGATGAATATTTCTCCCTCAGCAAAGATATGTGCTGGCCAGCCCAAGGCCAATGAATCGCAATTTCTAAACAGTGTCCCATTTATCTCTCCCCTCCCCCTTCCTCCCCTACTCGCTTTTATATTTTTGTAACTATAATTGTAGTTAACTTAGAAATAACTGACGGGCAAATCCAGTCAGATGGAAAGAAAATTGTGGGAGATTTATTTTATTCTGATAAAAAACTGACGTTGCCTTTTGTTTTTGTCAAAAATTGACTATACTTTTCCTCGTACCATGAATTGTGAAATCTATCATGAAATGGGTAAAAATTATTGAAGGAAATGGTGGTGTTAACCTGAAGGGAAAAATCATTAATGTTGATGTATTTCGTTCAATTCTAAATGTAGAATTTATTTTATTTTACTTTATTCATTTGGCATTGGGGAACTAGTAGAAAAGCAGGAGACTTGCAAGGGGCTCTATGTGCCTTTAAGTCAAAACATCTATTTTAAAAATATTCTTCCCTCCTTCCCTCCTGCTCCATTTTTCTAAATAAAGGATATGAGATGTTGTTGTTGTTGTTGCTGCTGCTGTTTTTTTTTTTTTTCCTAAGCAAAGAGGACCCCCTCGGCGCATTTTTCTTTTCAAATGTGAAATGAGGTGGAAAATCCTCATTTCACGACAGGAAGGACAAATATTGACACAAAGTTAATATTTGTCAGGAGCCCTGGAAGCAACCTGAGTGCTTAAATCATACACACATACGTATACGTATACATATATATATATTTATATATTTTTTTTGAATCTATGTTTTAAAAAATTAAATAATGAACTTGACTTGATGGCTTGATGATAGAGGAATCGGCAGAAAGCAAAATCTGCTATGCGAGGTTAGGGAAATAACTAGGGAAAGTGGACACAAACATATGCACTCCACCTCTGACTTCTTCCCTCTTCCACGCGCTGATGAAGACCCGTGCACAGGGCACGCGCGTGCACACACGTGCGCGGCGTGAGGGTTCGTTCTTCCTCTCCTGCCGTGCACGCGGCTCCCGATGCCGCGGGCAGCCTCTCCCACACGTGCACGCGTCCCCGCAGACGTGGACGTGCCCGTCTTTGACCCGTTTGTGTCTTCCCACACTCTCGCTGACTCACGTGCTCCTTTTTCTCTTTTCCCCACTTTTTCCTCTCTCTCACGCGTATATGAGCGGGTGCACACGCACTCACGGGCAAATACCCACTTGATCTAATATCGCCGGTTTAGGAGGAGGGCTTCTGGAATTTATCACCGTTATTGTCCATCGCCGATGTAAACAGCACATGTCAGCTCAATATTCAGTGGTCACTCAGTATTTATTAAGTCCTGTCCACTCTGGCCTTTTTGAGAGGAGAGCCCCGGGGCAGATTAGCTGCTGGCCCTGACACGCCGTGTCACTTATCTGTTCGCATTGATTATGAGAGTCAGCTGCGACCAGGCCTCACTTTTTTTCCTTCTTCTCTCAGGCCCCTCTTACAAGCACCCCTGCTTGGATTTTCATGAGGAAATAATCAGATTAGGCCTTCAGCGGCGAGTTCATATGGAGTTCTCTTTCTCCAATGTGCTACTAACTGAATAAACGTGTTTTGTGGTAAATTGTAAATGACATTATGATTACCAAGGCCAGCATGGGTTTCATTTAGAAGTGATCGAAATTGCCCACTACAGAAATTGTGACTGGCAGATAAGGCCATGTGGAAGGGGACAAGCAAAGATGGGTGTGTGCGTATCAGCGCGTTTGCGCGTAGGAAGCCTACTGACAAACCCACCGGGCAAGGCAAAGGAAAGTCCTGGGAGTCACAAAATATCAGCAAGCCCCCTTTCTAGAGGAGAGCAATGTCACCCGAGGGGAAAGGGGATGATTTGGATGTTTCCGGGAGAGCAAGCGATAAGATCGGCCAGCCTTCACGGGCTGGCTGCCGTCGGCAGGGTGCGTGCGCCTGGTGCTCGAGGACCATCACTAGTATCTGTGAGCGCAGAGTTTCCCCTCCTGCTTCTGCATCCATTCGCTGCTCCCTCCTCCCCAGCCCCCAGCACTCGCTAAGAGCAAAATGCGTGTAATGATAAAGCAGAAAAAAAGAAAAGGCAACACAAAGCAAAAGTAAAAGAAGCGAGAAAAAAGGACAAGATAGTAAGCTGCTGTCTAAAAATAGGTGCATTTGCACAGATGTTGTCTCACTTGGACCTCCTCCCTGAACAGAGCTTGACATTTATGTAATTTCATTACTCTCCTCTGTGACACGCACAAAGAGAGCTCGTTCTGGGAAACACTCAGACTTGAGTGACTTTCTGCACATGAGGAATCCCCTTGACATAAATCATAGTTAAGTGTCCACAGGATTCAGGCATAAAGATGTTTATAGTTACCTATAAAGTGAACTCAGGATGATTCCTCTATGACAATATATAATTCATCTCTTTTCCAGGAGTCTGTTATTTCCTTCTAGCAGTGAGTTTCACAGTTCTAGCTTTTGCTTACTAAGGCAAATGTCCTTTTACACATTCAAAAGTTTGCGGCCTTCAAGTATGTTATCTCTTTATCCTTAATACTAAACATTGATGATCTGTGTACGCATCCCCAGAGCTGCTGAATGAGGAATGCAGAATTAGTTCAGACATTGGCCATGCTTTGCCTAACACATTCATACACACAGCTAACTAAGAAAAGAGCAGGCTTGGGGAGGAGAGGAGGACTACAGCTGGCTACAGTAGTAAATTCCTTCTTTGATTTCATTTTGAAGAGAAGGAGGAAAAATAGAAACA